TTAAGGAACTGGCAGCAAAAAGTCAATCCAGATTCTCAAAGGATGAACTTTAAAATGACCTACATTTCCCTTTATGTAGAGGGATATTATCCATTTATTAGGATGTAGTAGTTCATACATTTTTTTGTTTATTTTAATTTTATCTAGAAAGATTTTTATTTTTTTGCTAGAATCAGATGTTTTTGACATACATATTATGATTGAGACTATTAATGGGATTAATTATGATTAACTAATTTAGTTAATTAACATCAACTAAATTAGTTATAGATCAATCATGAACTGGAATATAGACTCTAAAAGATGCCTTAAGCTGACAGGGAAATCCACTTAGAGCAGTTATTTTATGAAAATTGTAAAACAAAAAAGTATATGAACATTTTCTATTTAATATAAAAAATAGATTTTTGTCTGTCAATATGCTCTATCCAAAACTCAAGTGGAAAAATTTTAGTTTCACCTGGTTTAATTTCGTAAAAGGTCTTCTTCACGGAATCTTTTGCTATCCGATTATTGATCGATTAATCGTAAAAAAGAATAGATAAATTAATATATATATATATATATATATATATATATATATATATATATATATATATATATATATATATATATATACATATACATATATATGTATATGTATATATATATAAATACAAATTAATCTCCATCCATCAATTTTCTGACACGTTTTATCCCAAGGGTGGGTTGCGAGGGGTCTACAGGTGAGAGGCGGGGTACACCCTATATATATATATATATATATATATATATATATATATATATATATCATTTAACGTAAAAAAAAGTCTTTCAATATGCTTTACTCAGAACTCCTCAAGTGGGAAGTTTTTTATTTCACTAGGGTTTCATTCTGTAAAAAAATCTTCTTTAGGGAGCCTTTTGCTATGCTTCCAACATTTATATTCAACAAAGGTGTGACCTTATTTTAACGAACTGTTGATTAGTGTCCTATAAGCCGCCTACACTTTTAGTAGTTTTATCAATAACACTGTGGAATGTCTTGTTTACTAGTTTTAGGTGTAATTGCACATTGCAAGAAAGACAGTATATGGAGTTAATCAGAGTACTGTAGTTTACTTAATAATTAAAATAGTAAATTGATAGAGAACTGGAGACAAAAAAAAATAAAAACAGGACAGAATGTCCAATAACGTCATAAAAAGGGACTAGATTATCATTTTCTGTTTTATTATTTCTGTTCATTAAAGAAAGCAACTAGCCCAATTTTATTATCTGGCCTATTTTAATATGCTTCAAAGAGCTATTAGTCACTAAATAGTAAAAAAAAGAAATAAATGTTGTAGTTCAATTTTCATATAAAGTATTTTTAATTGGATCTTCTAATGTGTACATTTTAAATAATGTACACATTATAAACAAATAAACAAAACAACACAAAATTTACACTCAACCTTTCTCCAAATAATATAGATCTAAAAACGATCTTTATAACATTTTTGGGGATTATCTATTATTCTTTTTTTAAGTTACTATCAATTTTTAAAGTAGAATAATTTATGAAGTAATTATGATTTCATGGACATCACCAGCAGGTCTGTGCTTCAGCTGGCTGTATGTTTAATCCTACTGATAAATCACAACATCACAAAAATTAAACGTCCCTTTGCAAACATTGAATTCTGTTAAAATATAATGTTTTAACTCTTAAAAAAAGTTCAAAAATAACTGGGCAGCAAATATTAATTATGTCACTTTACTTAGGCTGGGCATGCAACCATGGAAAAAATTAGGCCACCCTTGTTTTTTTTGTTTAGTTTTTTTTTTTTTTTTTTTTTTTTTTTGTGTGTGTTTGTTTATTTGCTTTGTTGAATGTGGTGTATTATTGGTTAACCTACTCTTCAAACAAAATATGAAAATTTTTCATGAATAAATATTGAATTTTCTGAAATGTAGCTTGCAGGTTAGTTGTAAATTTGTGTTAATAGTGCTACCATCTCCACAGCTGAAAAACTTTAAAAACTCTCTCACATCGGATTAGACCGCTGCTAATCTGTAGAAATTGTTTTTGATGGAACATTTTACTGGGTTGGAATTGTGTTGTTTGTTAAAACTTTGGTTTAACTTAATGCTGGGAACATTTTATTATTACAATGCAAAATAATCTACAGAAAGCTGTAAAAGCAGGTGTGGAAACTAATTTCACATATTCGAAACTGCAGCTTTATTAGCTGAGTACTATTAAAGTATAATAAATGTGTTAAATGTGCTTGCTGCATTGTAAGTTAAAAATAAGCATGATACATTTAACATTATCAACAAACCTCAATCTTATGGAGAAATTCTTAAATATGTAGTTGGAGTATGGAAAAAAAAAACAGACTCTGACAATACTACTTGTAATTGTACTTCACAGCAATAGACCCTGTTTACATGAAATATCTTCCTAAATTCTCTCAGTGCCTTTATCCATGTATCTTATAACTCTCTAATGTCACAGAATAAGAGTAAAGAGCTCTTGGCTGGCTTTTATCAAACATCTTCTGTACAGAAACAAAGCAGCTAGAAAACAGTGGGTGTCAACAAGGGGGGTGAGGTTGCTTAAGGATGCAAAAGCAAAGATGAGTTCTTGGAGATTTATTGAGAAAACTGAGGCAAACATAAAAAAACCCAAAAAACAAAAAAGGAACCAGCAAACAGTGACCGAACATGAGGTGTATAAATGGGAGACTGAACAAAGACCAGCCTAATCAGCAGATATGGAGCAGGTGTGGATGGAGGAGACTAGAAGGGAGCTAGGGGAACGAAGACAGGCACTATGAGGCAGCAGGAGGTTAACCAGCTGGTTTTGAGGCAGCAGAGAGTAACTAAGACTGCTTAAATATACATAAAATGGAAAATAAACCAAATTTCAACAAAATAGAAGAACTGATCAAAAAAATTTTGAAGTCCCAAAAGGGGGGAACCATAACACTGGGTACCCTACCATCTCAAAAGTCAGACTTTAAACTATTAGTTAAAAACAGATTTTAGGCAGAAACTTTTAAAATGGAGATAAGGAGAACAGCCCCTTTATAATGTAACATAAATTCAAGCTGGCTCAAGCATTTTAGATTTTGAATAATGTTTAAGGATTCAGCAGGATTCCATTTTATTAATGCTTGTCCTCCGGTATTATGGTGATTGAGTTTGTGGTTGTAACTCCTGAGCCTCTTTACCCAGCTGTTGGTTGTATACACATAAAAAAAAAATTATTGAATGGTTTCAACCTAAAAAAAAAAAAAAAAAAAAAAAAAAAAAAAAGCTTTAAGAGTATTAACAAATAAAAGGTGGCTGGTCTGACCCTGGAAACCAGGAAACCATATCTGCATACAGACAGGAGGTTAACCAGCTGGTCCACTGATGCACTCAGTGGACATCTGAAGCTGAACCTCCTAAAAACAGTGGAGCTGATCCAGAGGATGGACCTCTGGAGCATTACCTGGAAACCTTGTGTGCTATTTACACTAAAACTATGTTTAGAAGATTAACACAAAGACTGTACTCCCTGTCTCAACTCTCAATATACAACAGCACTGCCATCTTTCTGTTGGATGCACATCCATCTCTGTTTGGCTCATTTAGAAAGCAGGACAGGTCTAAACAGCAACAAACTATTAGGTCCTTGGGAATAAGAATCCCTCCATTCATAACCTTGAACCAAAAAAACAACATTTAACACCAGTGCATCCTGGTCAGAGGCTGTTCAAGCCCCTTTCCTCTCATCTGACATTTCTTTTTCCTATCCTTACCCCCCTTAGCATGCTTTTTACATGGTTTGGTTGCTGTTTTTACTTTTGATTATGATGTGAGCATTAAAGACCAAAGTCATATTTCTTGCAATTGGACTCTCAAACTTTGCAATCAATTAAATTCTGAATCTAGACAGGCTACAGCTAATTGTTACTTTATAGTATATTTTAGGCTGGTCCCAAATGCAGATCAACTGAACCAGGGTTTTCAGAAATCACTGGTAGGAGCGACACTTTGTGCTGGTAACCATGCTTCTAAATGGGTGTTTATGGTTATCCGCAGAGGAATGTTACAACTCGGCTCCATGAATTGCATTAGCTTAGAAAAGTCTTCATAATCATCTGTGCTTATCGTATATTTTTATATCATGGTTTTTGTGTAACAGCCTCCATTTTTCTGACATTACATCCTCATCCTATTAGTGCATTGCTAAGTTTGGGTTGAGAAGCTAACACCCCTTGGCTAAATGGGCACTATTTAGGAGATCTTATCGACTCTTTATATTTATTGTCAGACTGTGTAAAATGCTTTCTTAATCCTCGTTGTCGTTGATAAGAGTAATGTTGGACTTCATTTAGATTGGTTCATGTTTCTGCTGCTACCATGGAGCCATCAGTGTGGCTCTGCTTAATTCAATTCAGTTTAATGAACAGTAGAGCCCTCTTCTGGATGGCAGCAACATTACAACACTTAAATAAAGTCCGTTTGAACTTTATCAGATAATCGGATGGCACAAAATTTTGATCTAAAAAATTATTAACATATCTAAACACAGGCAATTTATTTGTTTTCATCTGTAGTTTAAATCAAAATGTTAACTTTATTAGGTGGGAAATTATTGTTTGCATACATTTTCTAAGTTCACATTTACATCATTCTGTATCATCATGCAGTATTTTAACAAGTGACGTGACGACATTGTAAACATGCTAATATTACCCTAGCATTAAAGCTTTGTTAGTATGCACAAGATCAAATCTGTAGTTGTATGTGTTAAGTCAGATTTACCTTTTTAAACAGGTAATGAAGCTATGCCTGCTGTAGGCAATGATTGTGACAGTATTTATTGTTGGTACTGAATTTTACTGGACATAGAAAGCATGGATTTCATTAGCTTTTTCTGATGCTTCAGCCCAATTATCTTAAATTATTTGGATTATTGTCGGGATGAAATGTCTTTAGTTAGCAATATCACAAGTCATATTTACAGGCTTAATAGGTTTAATTATTAAGGAATATTTTAAATGGAGAAAAATAAGCTTTTAATCCATGGCACTTTGATAAAAGCTTTCTGTGTTTTTGACATTTTATTTCATTTTTGACCTTTTGAGCAGATGTTTAAAAAGTTTTAATGCTAGACTAAGCCTAGGCTAGTTTCTGACGTGCCAGCATCAATCAATCATCCACTCTAGGCCCAACAAGAGCCCTTGTGCTTGATCATATTCCTAATGCATGCTGCATCTCTGCCTCCGTGTAAACTTCTGAACTTCTTGACTCTAATCTATTCCAGGCTTTAACATAGCAGGTTGTCCTCAATGAAAGGTCCCCATTCCCAGCTGTCCAGAGTCCTTGTATCTCTGCCTTCTGCAATCACAAGGGGAGATGCAAAGCACCTTCTCTCTCTTAATTTTGCAATCTATGACAACTGCGTTCTCAGCTGAAGGTTCTATAGTTAGAATGCTTGTTATTTACTGACGGTCACTTGAGGAGGTGTTGAATATGTGTCCTTGCCTCCAGACGTCCTTCTCTTGTTTTGTCCATCTCCTTAACTCCACTTTAACAATGAGGTTGTCTGTGGCTGCAGCATCAGTGCATAGGCTCAAGTTTAAGATCTATCACCGTTTAAAGAAGTTCCTTGCTGCTTTGGACTCAGCATTGCTTGAGAAATAAATGGGAGATAAGGTAGGGCTTAATTGATTTGATTTTTAGATATATTTACAAGTGAAATATGCAACCATCTTATGCTTGTTAGATACAACATCTTTGTAATAGTAAAGCTGATGTTTGTAATTCTATATACTCTGTGTAGGTTGTAAAATGATATACTCTGTTCTACTCATTTCACAAATATTATTAAGCTTATTTAAGAATGTAAAATACAATAAACTTTGATTGAGCTTTATAGTAGAACAGATGAGCTTTCTGTCTAATGTTTTTGTTTTAATTGTCTTGTTTCTCCCTTAAAGCATCAAAACCTGGTACTGTAAAGGAACCTGCATCAGCAGATTGTGGCTCCTTTCATCCAAGCATCAAACTTTAACAGGTAAAGTTACTGATTACTACGAGTAAGATTACATCAAATTTTGAAATATCACCACAGCATTTTTTTGATGATTGTTATGGTTATGTGTCCTGACATACAGTAGTAAAGTAAAACATAAAGCTTTATAGCGCTGGTTGTATTGCTGTTTGTTGTTTGCTCAAAAGGCATTATGAGTCTTTTCAGATTTTGCCTAAAATCATTTAACTTTGTTGTCCTTATGGAGTTGTTTTTTGTCCATCATTTGGGTTTACTTTTGTGCTGTATTTTCATGTAAAACCAACCATATATACATTAATCATGAGAATTATTAGTTTAAATACCATACCTCAATATGTGTTGATTATTTGATACCAACACAAAAAAAAATTCCCCCTAAAATTTGCATTTAAATCTACTACCTAATATGTCAATCTTCAAATCATTTATGATTGATTGAGTGATTGACTTAATTGATTTGACAGTGTAGAAATGTACTCGTTACATCAGATGGATATAGATATTAAAAAAGAAGAAGAAGGGGCCAAAGGAATAAAACGTGGGCGTATATACTGTATATATAGTGCTTCCACATATACCGTGTATGACAGCTTTTTAGCAGAATTATTATACAGGGTTATTGCACAGGGTATTAAATGGGTATTTATATAGATGGGTGTTTGTATATATAGCTATTGTACAGGGAATCAAATTTAAAAATTCATTATGTGTTATATGTTATGTTTTGTTCTGGTGATTGATTAAGAATCTCTTGTATCTACATTTTGGTTTTTACTGAATATTTTAAAATGTAATGTACTGTAATTAGATTTTTTTTTCTGCATACAGTTGTTGGTTTATTCTGTTAAATTCAACATCAATTTCTTGATATTTTAACTAGACATTTGTTTGGATCTAAATGTGTCTGTGTTTTAAAGATATTTTGGAATGTAGATGGGTTTTTTTTACATGTCTCTAGTGTCTGGTCATATCTGGCTTGACATATTAACCTTTCATTCATTCATTTATGTCTGTTTATAAAGCAACTGATAAACAGCTCTACAATGATAATGATGCATTCCCCAGATTTTGCCGCTGAAATCTTTCAAGCTTTAGGGTGAGGATCCTCAGGGTAGAGAAGACCGATACATCAGCTGGCTGATGTTTCATGCTTATATTAGTTTTTTTCTTGCATCAGTATCAACCAATACATGCATGCATTTGCCAATTTGCTTTCCATTTTGGCAACAATTAGAAAGAAACTAAATGCCAACTGAATGTTTTTAGCATTTTTAATGGTTGTAAATTGATTATTTATTGACTTTATTTAATCTCACAGTGGAGAAACATACTTGTTACATAAGCTCAAATAGTCAAAGAAGAATATATATATATATATATATATATATATATATATATATATATATATATATATATATATATATATATATATATATATATATATATATATATATATATATATATATATATATATATATATATATATATATATATATATATATATATATATTGCAGGATATGTCTAGAGTATTTACAGATGAGATACCTGGATAGTACCAGATTATGGAAAAGCTGCAGAATTAAAGACTTTCCCACAAGCAAACAAGCAAATATTTAATGGTAGGAGCAAAATGATTAACATTTTGTTGATTTCTAAAAATCATGGGCCAAGGAGCTATTTTCTTAAATCCTTCACAATCCTCATTGTTTTGTAAAGAAGATGGTAATCTTGCTGGCAAGCTAGATTTCTCAATCAGTATTATTTTACCAGGTCCAGTTGTTTAAAACTTTTTAATTATTCACCTTACTGTGGATATGGACAACTCCAGGAAACTAAAAATGTTGTAAATTTAAGTACCCTGTCTGACTTCATATTTATTCCTTGTAGAAACAGGAAAATGTGCACAACTCATTATAAGGTACTCAACAAAAAGGGACTTTAAAAGGTTTCGCCTTAACAAAATCTGCTTCACTATTTATTTTATAGAAATTGATAAAATAATTATTGAATTATAATTCAATAATTTTGGAAAGAATTCTCCCTTACTGATAACTGTCATTAATAGTTGTGTTATCCTGCTACAGAATTATGCTGTTGTGATTAAATAGCCCTTTAAGTACCTGTTTTTGTAAAGGAGATCCAAGGGAGCTAGTGAATGCAAAGCCATGCATGTCCCAGATGACAGAAAAGTTTATTTGCATTATAGGTGTTGTTGAAATATAAAACTGAAGAACATCCAAAAATGCAGAAATATATCTGCTGTTGTTGCAATTTCCGTGTAATCTCATATTCACTGTTAAACCAAATGCTACCAAGAAAACAATCAAATAACACAACAGTCATGGCACAGTTTGAGATGCACATTCATTTTATTCTACTGAACAACCTACATAGGGAGACACCATTGTTCAGACATGGAGTGCCTCAGGAAAACAGATTCTTTCAATGTACTTCACTCTTCATCGTGCCCTTTCTGAAAAGAGAGGGAAAAAAATCATTATTTACATTCATATTTGATCTGAGACTGCTTTGTTTTCTGTTACACATGTTCACAACTTTAAAGAAAACTTTTTATTTGTTTGATGGTCTATGCCTTGGATACAGTTCAAACACAGTACAATATGAGGACATGCAGTGTCTTAGTAAAGAACATTCTTTCTGCTATTTTAAACCTCTTTTAAAAGTTGCAAATGATGTCCTTTTGCTGAATGCTTTTTTTTCATTTCACATTTAACAGATGGCTCCAGTATCAGCAAAATTCTGATTTAAACTGACCTTTGACCCCACATCACGACTCTTGGCCCGCAGCTTGTTGACCTGGGACTCTGCGATATCAGCTCTCTCCTCAGCCTCATCAAGCTCATGTTGAAGTTTGCGGAACTTGGTAAGATTACTGTTGGCCTGTTCCTCCTGTTTAACAAAATACTACATTAGCCACTATATGGGTTTGAAATAACACAAATGTTGTGTTTTAAATCAAATTTGATATTAGATTTGTTAGTATTATATCAAACAGGTGGCCAATTCATTCAAAGCAATTTTGTTTTTGTTAAAATGGTATTGTATGAAGACCAAATGTTATATTAAGCTTATTGTCTGTCAGATTATAGTAATCAATGAAGCTTGAACACTTACAGCCTCCTCTGCAGCTTTCTTGTAGGATTTGACCTTTAGCTGTAGTTTATCCACCAGATCTTGGAGGCGGGAAAGGTTCTTGCGATCCTCCTCCGTCTGAAATGAATTAGTAAAAAATGTACAACACTTTAATTTACTCACATACTGAGTGATGTTTTCTGTTGTTGTTTTAGGTTTTACCTCAGCAAGTTAACTAGAATTATAATAAATTTTGAGGTTTAGTAGAGGATTTCACAAATTTTTGAAAAGACCCTCCCTCTCCACTTAAAAAAAAAAAGCCCTGTACCTGCTCCCTATTAAACGCATGTGAGAGCATGCACTGGCCCATTTCTCCTCGTGCACGCTCTGTTTATAAGTTGCCATTTTCATTACTCACACAAGCTTACTTTCCAAAAGAAGATTTGCAATTTTTCCACTATGTCCGACTCACCACCGGTAAGTTAAAATGGGGATGAGCAATAGGACAGCCTTATGTAAACATTTCACCAGATTGACAATTAGGAGGACCACTTATTTTGGTGATCCACCCCGAAAAAGAACATCCTCCACTATACCTTTAAGTAATATTGTGGGTAATACATTGGGTTTAATCTCTGGAAATGTTTATGATGGTTTGAGTGTCATCATTTAATTGACTGGCTATTGTCAGCCAAAATAGGTACGATCATAACTTAATGTAGCTGTGATCAGTCCGCTGTCCCATCTTGTTTCCTTTCTCTATCTGTTCTAAAATTTTGTATCATAATGAATGAAACTGAACTCACCTGGTAGGTCAGCTCTTTGATACGTCTCTCATATTTGCGTATTCCCTTGATGGAGTCGCTGGACTTTCTTTGTTCAGACTCCACCTCAGTTTCCAGTTCTCTAATCTGTTGGAAAATAACATAAAATTACATAGTTATTACAATAAACTGTAGAATGCAAGATGTCAAATTTTGTACCAGCTCAAAGATTAAGTGTTACTTTTCATATTTTTTAAAGATTTTTGAATTTAAACTCACCCTGGCCTCCAGCTTCTGAATCTGCTTCTTGCCTCCCTTCATGGCGATCTGCTCCGCCTCATCCAGACGGTGCTGCAGATCTTTGATGGTTTGCTCCATGTTCTTCTTCATACGCTCCAGGTGAGCGCTGGTGTCCTGCTCTTTCTTCAGCTCCTCTGCCATCATGGCGGCATCAGTGATGGCTTTCTTGGCCTTCTCTTCAGCATTTCTGCATTCCTGAACAGCCTCCTCCACTTCAGTCTGAAGTTGAGCAATATCACCCTCCAACTTCTTCTTCTGGTTTAACAGGCTGGTGTTCTGTTCAAATGTAAAATTAAACCTTATATAATAACTCAATAATAGTTGCAAAGATGGTAAGTTATCTATGAAAACAGCGCTTCACCTGTGAGTGCAATAGCTGCACCCTCTCGCTAACATCCAGCAGCTCTTGCTCAGCCAGTTTACGGCTTCGTTCAGTTTGCTCCAGAGCACCTCTCAGTTCCTCAACTTCAGCCTGAAGAAGGTTGTTGCGTCTCTCGACTATGGCAATGTTTTCCTTCATGTCATCATTTGCTCGGAGAGAGTCATCAAGCTGCAGCTGAGCATCCTAATGATTGACATTTATCACAGAAAAAACAATTATATACTGATGCAAACAATGCACAGAATAGGACAAATTTTGCACTTCAAACCAAAATACGCAAAAAAGTTATATTTGAACTAATTCTGACATAAGAAAAATAGTATATAAATTTCACTGAAAAATTAAACAATCCAATAATTTTTGAATTGCAGCTTATAAAACTCGAATCTAGGTTATGGGATTGGGGTTAATGAAATATTCTTGTATTATAAATAAAAACTACAGCTTAAGTGCAAACCTTTAGATGTGAGTGAACAGACTTGAGTTGTTTCTGGGCCTCAGCTGCCTGCCGGTTGGCTTGGCTCAGCTGGATCTCCATCTCGTTGAGGTCTCCCTCCATCTTCTTCTTCAGTCGAAGCGCTTCATTCCTGCTGCGAGTCTCAGACTCAAGGGAGCTCTGAAGAGTATCCACCATTCGCTGTTGGTTTCTCTTTACTTGTTCCATCTCTTCATCTTTCTCAGCCAGCTTACGTTCAAATTCAGCTTTAATTTGGTTCAGTTCGAGCTGGACTCTGAGAATCTTCCCTTCCTCATGCTCAAGAGAGGCCTGTAGATATATAATAGTTTAGATTATTTCTGTATTTTAACCAAACACAAATACTTTTAAGAAAAGTTTTTTTTTTTTTAATACAGTATACCTCTGCCTCCTCTAAAGCTGTCTGTATCTCAGACTTTTCTTGTTCCAGCTGCTTCCGTATCTTCTCTAGCTCATGGATATTCTTTCCACCCTCACCAATTTGTTCAGTAAGGTCAGATATTTCCTCTGAAGACATTATTGGAAGAATCACTTAATGCCAGTTTGTAATTCAACTTTGCATGTGAGATTTTCTTGATAAACAACTGACCTTGAAGGTTCTTATTCTCCCTCTTCATGGTCTCTAGATGCTCAAGAGACTCTTCATAGGAGTTTTTAAGTTTAAAGAGCTCAGTGCTCAGAGATCTTGCTTCTTTCTGAGCACTCTCCAGCTCTGACTGAGACTCTTCATACTTCTGCTTCCATTCTGACAAGACCTGAAAAATAATGCACATTTTAGCCATTTAATCAGTTACTGTGGTAAACTCTCAGAGGTCTCCCTGCATTCCAACCTTGTCAAAGTTCCTTTGCTTCTTGTCCAGAGCAGCAGCAGCAGCATTAGACCTTTCCACATCCACCATGAGATCTTCAATCTCATTCTGCAGCCTGTGTTTGGTCTTCTCCAGAGAGGAACATTTAGCATTCACTGCTTCAACAGCCTCCTCAGCATCCTGCAGACGCTGAGCCAGCTTCTTCCTGTATTAATGAAGGGTTTCATTAGGATTGGTTGCTTTCAGACTTTGCAGAGTCATACAGATTCAAATGGGATTTGCTCACTTAGCTTCCTCCAGTTCCTCAGTTCTTTGGATGGCATCAGTTTCATACTTGGTTCTCCACTGAGCCACCTCAGAGTTGGCCTTGGACATGCTACGCTGCAGTTCAGCTTTGGCCTCCTGCTCCTCCTCATACTGCTCCCTGAGGAGGTCACAGTCATGGCGGGCAGACTGCACAGCATGGGCTAATGCATTCTTGGCCTAAAAAAAAAAAAGACACATTTATTTTGGAGCTATCAATAACTGATTACTATTTGATGTTGCCTTACTTATACTGGTTACCTTAATTTCCTCTTCCAGTTGTCTTTTCAGGTCTTCGATTTGTTGTGTGTGCGACTGTTTTCCTCTGGTGAGCTGAGACACCAAGGACTCCTTTTCCTCAAGCTGCCTTATTAGTTCACCTGATTTAAAAATTAATCAAATATTTAGACTTTAAATGGTTAATCATAAAATAAGGCTTCTAAGAGGTTAAGTCAAATCTTATACCATTTTCAGTTTGAAGCTTTGCTTTCTGCATGGTGAAGTCATTGATGGTACGCTGTCCCTCCTCTGATTTGGTTTTATATTCATTTAGCTGATCTTCAAGTGAGCGACACATTTTCTCCAAATTGTTCTGAAATAAAAGAAATCATCATGGGACCAAATTAGGAAGTTATTTAATCCCTCAAGAGCAAGAAAACCTCCACAAATAACATTCACATAAACTTTACCTTGGACTTGACAATCTGCTCCATATTGGAGACCACATCGTCCAGCTCCAGTTTGAGCTCACTCTTCTCCTTCTCCAGTTTCTGCTTGACTCTCTGCAGGTTGTCTATCTGCTCCCCCAGGTCAGCAACAGAGTCAGCTTGTTTCTTCCTGAGTGTGGCAGTGGTTGCCTCATGCTGCAGAGTAGCCTCTTCAAGGTCTCTGCGGAGCTTCTGGAACTCGGCCTCCCTCTTCTTATTCATCTCGATCTGGGCGGCCGTGGCTCCACCAGCCTCCTCCAGCCTCTCACTGATCTCCTCCAACTCTCTGGCCAAGTCTGCTCTCTGCTTCTCCACCTTGGCTCGAGCAGCTCGTTCTGCTTCAAGCTCTTCCTCCAGCTCTTCTATGCGGGCCTAGCACAAATTGAGAGTGAATGTTTTAGAAGTTCAATGTTCTAATAGTCCTTTTAAAATCATGCATATTCTTCCTCAGCATATTATGCCTTGTGGGAATGGTCACCTGCAGCTCCTTTAGTTTCTTCTGGAGTTGGGCACTCATTGCTTGTTCATCCTCTATTTTCCCATTGAGTTGGCTTATTTCAAAATCTTTCCTATGGATGATAAAATGTTCAATGTGATAAAAGAATGCCTACTTTAGGAATAGCTAGTGTTTTCAATATTAACTATTTACTTTTTCATTCGCTCTTCGAGTTGCTGCTTGTCATTTTCCAGGTCCATGATACTTTCCTGGGCCAACTTCAAGTCTCCTTCAAGCTTTCTCTTGGCTCTTTCAAGGTCCATTCGTATTTTCTTCTCTTGTTCTAAGGATCCTTCGAGCTGAAGAGCATCAAGCAAGAGATCACATTTAGTCAAATAAACATTGTACATCTTGCAATAAGCTTAACGTTGTAGAGCGTACATCATCCACTTGCTGCTCCAGCTTCGCCTTGGCCTTGGTCAGAGTGTTGACTTTGTCTTCTTCACTTTGCAGGTCATCCAGGGTTTGTTGATGAGCTTCCTGTAAAGCTTTCTTTTCCTTGGTCAGCTTGGCAATGATTTCGTCCAAAGCGGCCATCTCCTCTGTCAGGTTCTT